CGGGAGAAACTTAAAGGAAGTAGCCTCTTTCACCTATCTAGGCAGCACTGTTTCAACGACAAGCGGCTCAGACGAGGATGTCATAGCAGCCAGGATCGGAAAAGCAAGACAGGCGTTCATTAGCCTGAAACCAGTGTGCAGATCTTCTGCACTGCGCTCAGCATGTGGAACAAGATGGGGATTTTCAACACCAACGTCAAGTCAGTGCTCCTGTATGGTTCAGAGACTTGGCGCGTTACTGAAGGCATTTCCAATAAACTACAGACATTCATCAACAACTGCTTATGCTGACTCGAGACTGAAGATCAGATGGATTGCCAGAAAGAATAAGCAACAAGGAACTCTGGCTTCCTGGCAACGAACCAACCAACGAAGCAAGAACCTATCGCTGAACAAATATGCACTGGAAGGAAGTGAAGATCGATTGGACTGGACATACACTGAGAAGACCATTCGGGGACATCACACACTACGCACCGAGTGGAGCCCTCATGGGAAACGACGAGTTGGGAGTCCGAGGTGAGGGTGACATGGAGGAGATGGTATGAGGAAGAAATGAGAGCTTGTGGGCTGTCGTGGAACCAGGTTCAAAAGTTTGCAGAGAACAGAGTGCACTGGAGACGTGCTACTGAAGCCCTATGTTCCACTATGAACCCAAGGGACAAATAATAAAATAATTATATAATTGCAAATATTTTGCGAGAATAAACAATGTCTGTAGCTAACAATGAGGATGTTGATTATTTGGTGTTCTCTTCCTTTTTATGTTTGTTTTTCATTTCAGACTGACTGCTAAAGCACAGATATACAATTGAAAATAATCGAATGCTATATTTGAATTCGTTATATCGAAGATGCCTTTTAATTCTCAAAAATAGAGCAAACTGAAAAACGCGTTCAATTTAATCAATTTAGCCTTTTAAAGGTATTCAATTCTTAAAGCAAGAAAAAGACAAAATCACGTTTCTAGATGTTCTTACTTGTATGCTGCATGATGGATGGAACCTTAAAAACTCAACTGTACAGAAAGATGAAACAGATTAGATTTTTAGCTACAATAATTGTGTACAAGCACTACTTACACATACCAAGACTGATTTCAGCTCTCAATAACTGCAGAAGTAAGAAGAAAACTACACTTACAAGGTGTTTAAATTCAGTAATTACTTGATCAACTTCATCAAGAAGTGGCTATCAACAGTAGAAATGTTAGGACGATTTCCTCGACACAAAACACTTCACCATACAACAAAGATATTTCAGAAACTATTAATCGACTGCTGCATCCACTCAGTATCAGCGTTGTCCACAAACTAACCATACCCCTGTGAAATATCTTATCCAAGCTGAAGATTCTGTTACCTGAAGAAGACATGATAAAGTTAAAAAACTGATTATCTTTACGTTTATCGGCCCAGTCGTCGAATAACGCAAAGAATTTATGTGCATGATCTAACATTCAAATGATGCAACATATTATCAATGAGATGCCAATCCATGCAGATGAACACAACTACAACTTCGATTGGGACGTGCAACTACTATAAAATGCAAGCTGAAAATCACTAAGAGAATTCCCAGAAGCATAATACTCTAATCAAATGGCAGTCGGTGGGTAAATGAACGTCGACCCAGTATATGAACTATTGGGAAGAGATTATTCGACTGGAAAATAATAAACGACATTACGTCGCTTGCATGGATCCAACAACCATGACAAGTGATTTAAAAAACAAATGTTTACACACGCTAGTAACGTTTAAGGTCGGGAAATATCCTTTATAAATAGTCATTTTCATTTAAAATATCTGAGATAGCCATGGTTTAGCAGACTAGTATTGACACTAGGTGATGATTGATGGTGAAATAAAGATTTGGACCATGACCGGATTCGAACCAGTGACCTTCGGGTTTCTGACCTTGTCCTCTGACAACTGAGCTATGAAGTCTGACTCCTCACCAGATTTTTATTTCACTTCAATCATCAGGGGCTTTATCCGACTGCCATGTGAATTCATGATTCATTACTGCCACTTGATCGTACTCACACTGGCCGCCTGGTCAGGACTTCTCATCCCAATGCAAATGTACTGAATTAGAGAGGAGGGGGAGCATCATATTGATTATCATTTTGACTATGTGAGATAGACGTGGTGTTTGGCAGACTGGTACTGATATTGAAGTGAAATAAGAATCTGGTCTGCAGTCGGACCTCTTAGCCCATTTAGCATGTTGCTGGTCGAATCCGGTCGCGGTTCAAATTTTCATTTCGCCTTCAATCATCAACCAGTATCAAATAGTCATTTAACTTAAAATGTTTCTCTTCTCTACGAAGTAGGTAACAAGAAGTCCAAGAACATACCAAAACTTGGAGAACACTGTACATTTAATTCAGAGGTTAACTTCCACTATTCAGTACTATATATGGTACATTAGGACACTACATTACTGTTCCAAGTATACAGAATGTGAAACGCCACCGACATGTTTCACTCAATGCAAAATTGTAGTTGTGTAATTGGGTTTTTTAATGGTTGGTAACAATTATTCTAGGTGACAAGTTAGACTGTTAGTAGAGATCTGACATATTAGTTAATTGCTAAGGTTTATGATAATCTGTGTGGTGATTATTGTTCACCAACTCAGCTTAGTGTTTGCAAAAGAAAATAATGAGATCTGGCAATTTTTCTGAATACTTAATTGTGATTTTCTTACTGGATAATGGGAGTCAGTCAGTAGAAAGGAGTGCTCTGCTGTTTTCGACGACATCAAATTCACAATTGAATAGAAACCAAACAACAAACTTGCATTTTTAGATATTCTGATCATTAGGACAGATATTTCGAGGAAACTGAAATATGCACAAAACCAACTCATATGGATCGAGTCCTCAACTACAGTACACAAAATCTATTGGACAAAAGCATTGTTCAAACGAACGAAGATACACCTTATGAAGGAGAGAAAAGACCGTTTTCCAAAAGAACCGTTATCTAAGCAACCTCATCGAAAGATGTCTCTCTAGTTCATCATCAACCGAAACGTCAGTCTTGAGAATCAACAAATGGATCGTTTTACCTTACATGAAGGATATATCGGAGATCGCAACTAGATTACTGAAGCCTTTTGGAATCCATGTATCTTACAATACACTAAAATCACTTTGTTATGCAGATCAAATGATACGGTAGCAAACGAAGATAAGCCAAATGTTGTCTACAAAGTAAACTGCGAAGAACACTATCCGGCATGGTGATCGCCCTCTTCGTATCCGTCTACATGAACATCAGCTAACAGTGAAGCGTCATGACGTAACTTCTCGCAATCAATACATGTAAACAATCGTGAACATGAATTCGACTGGGAAATTGTTAAAATCCAAAATTAAGGAAATGCAGAGAATTTTTAGAAGCTTAGTATTCAGGTCAGTCAGTATTCAAGGAACATATTAACATTGACATAATTTATCAACCAATAAGTGACAAAAAGTAGGTCAACTTCACGTCGACAGGACAACCAATCAAAATACATATGGAAACAATGACAAGATTTTCGCAGAAACAACCAAGGTTATCAGGAGAAGCTATTCAATCAATTATACAGGAAATTTCATAGCTCAGTATTTTTCTGAAGTTTGTGCTAATGATGTTGTCTAGATTGAGAATGAAAGTTGCATGATCAAACCATTCAGCTTACAGAACATTATATCTTCAAAATTAAAAATCATTTTCAATGGTTCACACTTTCCAACTTCTGTCAGTTCACGATATACTGTGACTATCATCCAAGACCTGCATTTAGCATCTACTTCTCTTCCGATTGGTTGACCACATAGGTCACGGCTTCTCATTAGAACTTCGTGGTATCTATCTGGAAGCATGTCACTAATAATGAGCACTATACAGTAATGTATTTTTGAGATGAATGGGGAATTTTTAATTTAGAGGTAGTATTCATCACGGACTTATATCAGCTGGGGAACTATTGAAAATCCAGTGGCTGTATGGTTAATGCATTCTCCATGAAACCTGAAGGTGCTGAGTTCGATCCCTAGCCGGATGATGGGTGCGTACCATCGAGGAGTCCTATGTTAGGATGAATAGCTGTCCAGTGCTCCCAGGTTTTCAATGGTTTCCCAACTGATGTCAGTGCGTGATGAATACTACTTCTAAACTAAAAATCTCCGTTCATCTGAAAAGTAGAAAAATATCTATTATTATTGCAAATTAAAGATGGATAGTGGCTAGCAGTGGAATCCACGATGTGCATTTCATCCTGTTTGGGACTCACTGATCAGCTGAATGCACCTGCTTCCCGGTGGGAACAACATCACTCACCAGGAAGCAGGCACATCCAGCTAGCGAGTCCCAAATAGGACGAAATACCCATCCTCGATTCCATTGCTAGCCACTATCGATCATTACTATCATAAGAGTACAAGTAATATCGAGGCATTCGAACAGGATCCCATTTGCCGATAGAGACCGATCAATTCGGTCCAATCAACGACGGTATGATATAAAAACAATTATACATACTAAATGAATTAAATATTTAATTAATGTTTACTGTGATATATGTACATATACAAACAATTGAATAATCTGTACAATTCAATTACTACTTCTAAGAGGAGGGCAAGATACGCATGTTGATAAAGAAATCAGATCAACTTTAAGGGATAAAGAAATTCACAGTGGAGAAGAGTAAATCAACACTATAACAGCAAAAAGGAGAACATGAACTAATAAAATTCATACAGATAATACTAGTTTCGTCTACGTAATACATTATTCCTTGTGAAACCCAGTTGAAGGCTAAGGGTTGAGCAATATTTTTCACTTAAATAATCAATGTAATTCAATGCCTGATCTAATCTAATATCATTGTTATTTCTTTTCAAACATTTCTTTGACTTCATCTACTATATTTAATGTTTATTAGATTGGTATACTTCTCCTACTCACAACAATATTATACTTAATTGTGAGATGATCCAGTACACTGAAATACAACAATATCAATTATACTGAGAAAAAAATTATCAAAAGTATGTCTATTTAATTGTTTTGTTATGACTACAATTAACAATAATGTTAGATGATGTTGATAAATTAGAGTTTACTGGTAGAGTTGCCACTGTGATTGTAGATAAATTCATAGATTGAGTATTTGAAAAAGTCTGAGTTTTCTGATAAATCTGATCTGGATGTATCCTGATGATTTCATTTGAAGGTTGTGTAATGTTAACTGATAAACTTGGAAGAAGTAGACATAGGGATTAGATTGAATTCATATCCTGATGATTTCTTTTCTTGATTATGCTCATGCATACAATTGATCAAAGAATCTGTAAACATAAAAACAAAATAATCAGTAATACTATACTATATATGATCTGAATGTTTATAGAAAGATAAATTTTACTGTTAGACAGCTAAAGGTAGTCCTAAGGAAGATGTGATTTCTTACTTGTTGACATTTACCGGTAACGTATAAAGTATCCCTCAGTGGTTTAGGCATAAGATTAGTACAGGTTAGATTATCAAAATGGGATGCCAGTGAGCACGAAACTAACTCCAGATTCTCGGGTAACATGCTTCTGACCATCCATCATCAAGCAAAATCCATAATTTTATTGTTATTGCTTGTGTTATACTATCGTTGATTAGACCGAATTGATCAGTCTCTATTGACACATGGACTCCTGCGCGGATACCTCGATATTTTCTTTGTTTGAACCATATATATATATATGCATCCAGCTGAAGAGTCTCAAACAGGACGAAATGCGCTTCCTGGATTCCACTGCTGGCCACTATTCATCATTAATGTATATAATTAACATAAAGGCAATGTCGAGGCATCTGCGTAGGAGCCCATATTCTAATAGAGATTGATCAATACGGTCCAATCAATAACGGTATAATATAGGCAATAACACTACAAATATACCCATCCCACAAGAAGTAGGTATCATGGCTCGGTGGTCTAGTGGATAACGCTCTGGCGTTTGAAGCGATCGGTCCTGAATTCGATTCCAAGTGGGAATAACATCACTCACTAGAGTGCAGGTACATCAACCTGACCAGTCCCAAACGGAGTGGAACGCACATCCTAGATTCCACTCCTAGACACTCTCCATCATTAAAATCCATAATGTTAGTAAATTATCTATTGCGATAATCAAGAACCATAGAGTATTGAACATTATGGATAATAATGCGAATAAAAGCAACCCGCAAACAAATAATGAAAAACTGAAGACTCATACTCTAGTATATGTAAGTCCAGAAGGAAATTTATGTTTTTCAATAGGCCTAGATGGCATACTTTAGACCTACTTGACGATACTAAGTAAAGCAATGCAACCGCAACCCACACCTACAAAAACCCAATAACTCTTTCACTCAGCCATCATACCAATAACAAACAGGGTTGTGATTGAAAGTGAAGGGAAAACCTGAGTCGTGATAGGATTAGAACCACCCAGACAATGTCATCTTCAAATTCTAAGTTAGTCCAGCTATTCCTTAGAAGCTAAGTAAATACCTGAGAAGTCGAAGGTATTCAAGCTTCTGTCGGTTATCACATCTGTAACAAACTAAGGCATAGATGTTGACAGGGGTCATTCTTGTTTATCACCACTTTAAAAGATAACTTTTTACAAGCCTCAACTCCATTGCATCAGTTCAAGTAGAAAGTCTTTGGTCTTATAGCTTGTGCGTCTCCGTCGGTGATTGTACTGGATTGGTCGGCTACTGTTGACATAAGGGCATAACATAAGAGACTATATTATTCCCTTTTTACAAGGAGTGGCTATCATGACTCACTGGCCTAGTGGATAACGCGGCAGGTCCTGAGTTCGAGTCTTGTTGGGAACCAGGTACATCCAGCTGACTAGTGCATCCGAAATAGAATGAAGCGCACGTCTTGGTATCCACTGCTAGCCATTATCCATCAATAATTTCAAGTAGAAAGCTCTGGTCAGTAGAATGCATTAACTTGGTACTATGTGTCGTGGGAACACAACGATATTAACATAGAAGTCAAGCATACAGTCTTCAGCAAAAGAGGGAATTCATTTTGCAAAGTTTTTCTATCTTTATTGACTCAAATGGTCTGGATATTCCTTAGATAAGCATAGCAACAGTCTTCTTCGACACATAATTCAGCTGAAGTATGTGCAGGTTGGAAAGCTTTAAAAGGTGGTCAGACTGAAACGTGGTATTACTCGATAAAGTTCCTAATTATCTGAACGAACATGTTGAGATTCCAGTATACGATTAATTGAGGACCAGTGATCTAGTTACTAGATGAATGATACGATACTTAACAACTGGCACAGTTAACACAAGAAGACAATGTTGAACTGAAGCGAATTTATTCCAATCGGAAGTATGAAAATAACAACTAAGGGATACAACTCCTGCGTTTATATATAATGAGTGCACCCTTAGAGCGAATAGACAAAACAGCATAATAAAAGTGAAAGATTAACCGATAGGAAAACAGTGTTTTGAAAGACGGTAAATATGAGTGATATACGTGAAGCGGAAAAAGGTAATTCACATTTTCCATAAGATAAACTTATAAAATTTAGGTGTAAGACGTTCATTTTTGGGGATATAACATTCCTATCTGAACTGTGAGGAAATGTAAACTTCTGAGTTGAAGCTCACATACCATCTGAGATTAGAAGTTAAAGAATCGGGTTGATATTCCATAGGATCGGCCTTAGTGATACAGATGCATCCATACACTACCTTGTCTCCATGTCGCTTTCTGCTGTTTGCTTTATCTCCTCTTTTCGCCTTTTCTTTTTTTTACTTTAATAACCTTTGATCAAAATTTACTGTTTCGCTTTACTGACTTGTTTATTGATGTATGACATGTCGACTTGGAGTGTTGCGCAGTAATAGCAGGTTCCGTCTTGATGCTGACTGACGTACTCAGTGCTTCTAAAATAAATTCTTTCTGATGTAGCTGAATACGACCTTCATGTAAGTATCTGACACCCGTTACTGTGTCTACATTCCAAAGCCTATTGAAAGATGAAGTATGGTAGGTACATTTTCGTCCAGGTTTGGTTTTCTCAAACTTTTTATTCATGTACTCCAGCTGAGCGTCAATCGACTTCAAACTTCAGTGTCTTAGTATGAACTAACCTGATAATTCTGTGATTTTCAAAAAAAGACTTCCATACAAATATGCCCATTCAGTCATGGAACAACTTTGTATTCTTTCTTATAAGTTGGGATTACCAACCGTCCAGAACAGTCTGATGAGTACCTCTGATTCTATGAACTAGATATTTTCACCTTCCTTAAAGACTTCTAATCGTGAACTATTAGATCCTACTACTTTGCATCGTTTCAAGCTTAAAACAGCATTTTCAACTTTGGCAACAGTTGAAGGATGGATATCTACATCCCAAATAGGCTTATTCTAGATATTGGGCAACTGAAGTATGGCTGTAGACAAGTGGAACTGCCATTTCAACTTTTGCATCCTACGATTCTACCCTGATAAGTTATCAGGGACCCTTCCTTCTCAGTGACGAACTAACTGTCCATCATCTTTTTCTTATCAGTTCGGTTAATAAACCTAAATAACTGTCGATTATTAACTAGCATCAATACCCTCTCCATATACTACTGCTCGGGAGCATCACGAGAACTTTTATTCCTTTCACATTTGAAACTGTTCTGTGTCGGAAGATATGATCATTCAGTATAGACAACAAGTAAAGGTTGCTGAATATCGTGTTACTTTCTATTTCTTATAGACCCACTTAGTCAAACACCACAAAGATGCAGTCAATCGGGATTTAGTCAAGTAGTACGCACTGATGACTTCACAGGATGTAGTCATTCAATCTCTAAACACTCCATAGGGGAGATTATGTAAGTTCATTACACTAGTCAGATAAGATCACCTGAATAACACCACTTGGGTTCCGTATTCATGTCTATAACCCGAGATTCTACGGTTTTGGCAAGTGAAGGCTTATATATGATTCAGGCCAGGATTTGTATATTTAAAATGGAAATCAGATTCTAGGGGATTAGAAACAGTATTTTTCTGTAGTGGATAATTAGTAGTGATCGGCGATGGCAGTGGAAATAGCTGATGAAGTGTAAGAAAAGAAAACAAAATCAAATAGCTTATGGCTATATAGGGCTTATACACCAATGGAAGCATACTAGCGACTGATACTTCTTGGTTGAACAATAACAAACTCTCTATACCATGAAATTGTAAAATGCCTCATGGAAATTCTTCAACTTGTGAAGAAACACTTTGAAATGTGTTTTTTGACATATACAAGCTTACTGGATCAATCAAGAATATCCATCTATCCAGAAGAAGAATGGTTTTGTAGTTAATCATCCTGGCACCAAAATATAACTAAGACCAAAAATAAATGGATTAAATTGAATTAACTCAATAAACGTCTAGCTTGCCCCTGAATGCTCAAGATGTCTTAAGTTTTGTTTGAACGAGCAGACTTCGACGTCATTTTACTCTCGCTTTATGCTGGTTAACACGTACATCCTTAGAGTTCCTAGTTCAACCATACTAACCAGATAAGCTGGACAAACTTTTCCTTTGATAATTACCACTACATTTATTCTATTTCAATATATTACACCTTTAACCTCGCCTGGTTAACTAGTTTACTAGTTACTAGCCGGTCCTAAGCCCGGGTAAAGAGGGAAGGTTGGGCATAGGGCTAGCAACCCTACCCCGTAAAACAAATCTAACCGCTAAAGAAACTTCAAAGCACAAACAAAATATAAAAAATGAAAACAAACTTATTCCCCGCTGGAATCGGAGAGGCGAAATGACGCCAGTTGGTGAAAGCCTTCGGGAAGCCAATTGGCCGATGTGTCTTCTCTCGATGAAAGCGAAAGTAAACGTGGGGACATGGAATGTCCGCACGATGTTTGAACCCAGTAAGGCAGCCCAGATTGCAAAGGAGATGAGAAGGTATAACATGGAAGTGCTTGGGATTTGTGAAAGCAGATGGAATGGGAGTGGACTCTC